CACTCCTTCTCCCAGCCTGCGCCCGAGGGCTCCCGGGCCGCGCCCCACAGGCGCCTCATCCACTACTCCTATTCTCTCTCAGCTGATCTGCTTTCCCTCTGCGCGCGCCCACCGCCCCGCGCCTCGCTCACGGTGGCCCGAACCCTCGCCTTCCAGAAGGAAGGCCCGGTTCATCCCTGGGAGGGTACAGGGGGCTCAAGACCTTCCAAAGCAACTGCCGCGCAGGAGCAGAAGCTGGAACAGACGGAAGGCGGACCCGGCGCCGCAGGACGGAGAATCCGCGTCGGCTTCCTGCCGTTGGGCCTAGCCACCCGCCAGCGACGCCCGCCGGAGGGAGGGTTTGAGGGAGGGAGGGAGTCCAGAGGCCGGTTGAACGTACGAGCAGAGGCTCGGCCACCGCGTCCGTGGCCAGGACCTCGTGGCCCGCTGAGATGGGCGGATTGTGGAGGCAGCCCCCAGCGGCACGGCCTTCAGAGTCTGTGCATTTCGTGAAACTTGTTTTCAATGTGAGTGCTCATAAGAACATTCCCTTTGCCTGCCAGCCTAGTAAAGGATAGAACAAAATGTTTTCTTAGCAATCAAAACATGTTCTTTCCTTTGGTTCCCTAACAAATAGGTTTGACTTACCGGCTCATAGTAGTATTGCTTGTACCAAGACGCACAGGACTCATAAACCAAAGATGAAGATGTGGCCCCCCGAGGCCCTTGTCGTCAAGGAATTTATTGTCCGTTCAGTGAGATGAATGAATGAACATCACTATTAATGTTACCAAGCACTTAAACAATGTCTGCACCCATGAAAGTTATGTAAAATACTTTGGATGATAAAATGATGACGAAGATAAATATTCGAGCACCCAAGTTAAGGGTATGAAGGCAGTATTGCACTGGCCTCTTCTACTTTATTAGTGAGGCGACACTGGAGACATCTACGTCTACTGTCACTTGAGACATTTTTTACCTACCGGTTGAATTTGAATTTCTGGGTTTTGGCTTTGGTTTATGATATTCAACTTTTATTCAGGGGATTTCCAAATAGATCAGGGGCGGGGCTGCTGACCTAAGGAGAGGAGGCAGTTTTGAGAGAAGTTTTAGTAGATCACAACTGTGCATCAGTGGAGTCCCACTGATATTAGGGGAGAAATGGACAGTGCTGGGAATGGGGCAATCCTGCCAGGTGTTTTTGATGTTATGCCTACAGAAAATAAATTTGGGTTAGCCATATGAATTTATTACTAAGAATGTTTTCATTAAAAATCAAGTATAGGCCAGGTGCGGTGTCTCACGCCTATAATCCCAGCACCTTGGGAGGCCGAGGCGGAAGGATCCCGAGGTCAGGAGATCGAGACCATCCTCGCTAACACGGTGAAACCCCGTCTCTACCAAAAATACAAAAAATTAGCAGGATGTGGTGGTGGGCGCCTGTAGTCCCAGCTACTCGGGAAGCTGAGGCAGGAAAATGACGTCAACCCCGGAAGCGGAGCTTGCAGTGAGCTGAGATC